GCCTGTGGACAGGTGTTCTGGTCCACCTATCCACAGGTGTTCTGGTCCACCTATCCACAGGTGTTCTGGTCTGCCTGTGGACAGGTGTTCTGGTCTGCCTGTGGACAGGTGTTCTGGTCCGCCTGTCCTCAAGTGTTCTGGTCAGCCTGTCCACAGGTGTTCTGGTTCGCCTGTCCACAGGTGTTCTGGTCCGCCTGTCCACAGGTGTTCTGGTCCACCTGTCCACAGGTGTCCTGGTCCGCCTGTCCACAGGTGTCCTGGTCCACCTGTCCACAGGTGTCCTGGTCCACCTGTCCACAGGTGTTCTGGTCCGCCTGTCCACAGATATTCAGTTCAATTCAGTTTATTTATTTAGCACCAAATCACAACAAAGTTGTCTCAGGGCACTTTACAGGAACTTTCACAAACATAAAAGACACGTAGTAAAGTTCTGGTCCACTCCTCCTGATTAGTCTGCTCCAGCTGTCTCAGGTGTGAAGGGTTCCTTTTCCAGATGTTTCAGCTCCTTCCACAGATGATCAATAGATTCTAGATCAGGGACACTTCAGAACGGTCCAATGTTTGGTTCTGACCCGTTCTTCTGTGTTTTGGGTCATTATCCTGTTGGAGGACCCAGGAGCTGCAAAGGACACCAAACGCCTCGATAGTCTTAAGGTTTGATTGTACCCAGAACAGAACCTCCTCCATGGTCCACCGCAGGGTTCGGTTTCAGTTGTGGGTCTGTGGACACTGAGCTGAAGGGACTTGTTTTTAAGAAGCTCCAGTTTTGTCTCATCTGTCCAGAAGACATTCTCCTTGTGTCTTCTCAATATTCAGTTTAATAAATTCTCATCTCATATTTTATGACGTCCTCAGTCGTCTTCCATTAAGTCCATCGATGGTGTGACCTCTGACCTTGGAGTTCACCTCCAACCTCTTCAGAATTTGTTCTGGACTCTTTGGTTATCGTTCGTATAATCCGTCTCTTCATTTGTCCTCTTGTGGACACGTCCAGGGAGGTTGTCTCCAGTTCTGTGGACCTTAAAGTCCTAAATAATGTGAGCAGCTGCAGTCAGAGGAACCTTCAGCCGGCTGGAGATGATCTTCTGGTCTTTAACTTCATCACGTTAATGATCACTCAGTCCATGTGTTACACACCATGACACCAGTCAGTCCTGTGACTACCTGTCCCCTTTAAACACACTGAAGGTCCACACGTCTCGCATATTAGTTTGTTTTAAAAAGCAGTGAAGTGGACAACAAGTGTCCTGTGTGCAGAGGACAGGGTGAGACGGAGATGATCCCTGGAGACCACCTTCTGGACAGGTGACCTACCTTGTCGTAGTAGTAGCGCAGCGCCCGGCTCAGCTTGTCGTAGTTCATGTTGGTCTTGTTCTTGCGCAGCCCCCACAGCTTGGCCACCTCCTCGGACTTGAGCAGCTTGAACTCACCGTCGTTGGAGGTCCAGCAGATGAGATGTTTGTGGCTCTGGTCGAGCAGCAGCTGCAGCAGGAACTGCCAGAGCGTGATGGAGCTCTCCATGACGGCACAACGACCTGCAGAGAGAGCAGAGAAGAAACGAGTCCAGGCTGGAGCGACACACACACACACACAACGTTCTCCAACGTTACGTCCTGCTCAAACCCCCACAGAAGATGATCTCCTGACGTGTCTGAAGCTCTGACCCACGAGTTCTACAACAACCCAACTTTTCAGAACTGGGACTGTGTTCAACATCTTCAGCTGAGAGCGTTGGACTCCGTGAGAAAAAATTAAATTATTTTTATTCTGACGGCAGCAACACGTCCTTCCAAAGTTGTTCCAGGTCCGTTCCCCTCTGAGGAACATCTCCTCTTCTTTTAACAATGTCCAGGATCTGAGGAGATCAGATGTTGGAAGTTCTGGAGGACCTGAGGAGACCAGATGTTAGAGGTTCTGGAGGACC